AGTGTGAATAGATGAAATCTGAGAAGTTTAATGCCATGTGAAATTTTTCTAAATTATCCTTAGTGAGTTATTAAAATAAATGTGATAGTCTTTGAAAAATTGTAACAATGAAGTGCCTTTTGTCTTCAAATGTAGAATTCTTATGACTTAATAAGGGGTTTGAGGACCGAGCCTGTTTCCAGGTACGATCACTGAGAAATATTATTGAGCCAGTGATCTGAGGCCAGCAGCCAATGGAAAGACATCTGCAAACTACTTTCAGGTGGAGTTTTGTCTCAAAGAAAGGTGGGGAGAGCCACTTTTGGTATGGGCTGAGGTAGTACTCTCCTGACCTGATTTCTTCAGTGTAGTATTTCCTCTTGAATGGCACATTTTCCCACCTGGCTAAAATTCTGAGCCTGGGACATTTTGTCACTGTCATTGACTCCCTATATGACTATTTCCTGGAATTGATAAGTTAGGAGAGTATTTTCATTTTACTACAACAATGTCCTTTTTCTTTCTATGGCAGATTTCTATACTCATGGCAGGTGGTCAGTAGATTAAATCTTTCATAGGCTAATACATCTTAGTTACTATGAGAAGATGCAGATATGTGAGATCTAAACTATTCAGCCTGAAATCATAGTTATTTCCATATCCTAAACTACTAAATAAATGAGTATTTGGGGTTATCTACCTGTCATGTATACAATAAGGTCCTTGAAACATCTGAGTGTTATGGAAACAGACTATGTGTCAGCAGTTTGGGGGACCAGGGTATAAATCTATCATTCAGTGAGGATAAATCAGAAATATTTTTGTTAAAGCAAGTAATTTTGGAACAATCAGTTATCTTAGAGGAGAGTAACTTATGGATTCTTTTGTTGTGTTTGAGATTACGATAAGAATCCCTGAGGTGAATTTATTAGTGTAGCCTTGAAACTTAGGCAAAGAAGTCATCTACTGACAAACAGTGTTGTAAGTAAGGTTGGCTCCCTAGCAGTATGGGCAACTACAGTGAATAACTGAATTGGAGTGAATACCTAGGGGGAAGATTTGTTCAGAAAATAACAAGGCCAGATTAACTTAGTACAAAGTTGTATTAAGATCTGTTTTGCAAAAGGGTTACAGTGGAAATAGCTGGAGGAACCTCTGCACGTAGCCAGTCCTTTTATGAAGACTTAACTTTAGAGCTGCTATCAGTTGAGAGCCACTCCGTGAGAAACTGTGACCACGGGAATGCTGGAGACATCTGACATCTGAAGCTCGACTGAACATTAAATGACCAGTGGGAGTGGGCTACTAGGCTACAAAGTCGCTTGATCATTGTATTACCTGAAGCCTTAGCGAAGGGAACTGGCCCCAGTGGATTTTTGTCACCTTCGTGCCTTAGTGGGGGACCATCAGCTCTGGTATTTTGCATCACCCCTAGAGGACTGTTCTCTGTGTGTCTTAATGATCCATGAAGCCCCCAAGTCTTTCAGTTCATGTGATTTGATGAATATCAGTGATTATATTAGTGAATTAAGCAGCATAGGACTGTGTAAGTTAGTTATGTATGTTAATGCTGTTAGGATAAGAGTTATGTACCTCTTATGTATTAGTGATATTGCTGTTATGTGTTAATGATATTATTATAGATTTTAGGACAAAATCATATCGCTGTTATAGAAAAGCACATTACATTTCACCATGAATCTCTCTGATTGCAGCATCAGTCCCCTCACCCTTATGCTCCCTGCTCCATTGTGACCTTTCCTTATGCCCACCACTTCCTTACATCCTAGAATGACCACTGACCCAGACACTGGATGTTGGATTTCCTGTGGAAATCTCTATGAGGTGGCAGGTGGAATGCCTTTACTGGGTAAAACCTGCAGTTGATGGCTCAAAAGCCTGCGGAGAAAGTGGTTATGATTGGTGGACATGCCCTTCAACCAGTCAAAGAGTTTTCCCTGCTTCTAGTGTTAACTGGTCATGAAATTGTGGGACTCGTTCTATTCTTGGTGCTCTCCAAGTATATAAAAGTAGCAGGCACCCAAGGGCAGGGGTTCCTGATCTTGAGGAAGAGCTTGGACCCAATTAATTAGGGGCTCCCAGGACTTCATAATAAATTGAAAATGTTTGGAGTGCTTTTATTGCATGTTAAATTGGAATTTGGGGGTCACAGATTCGTCTCCTGACTTCTAGTTAATGTTTGCAGCTCTCAGTAAATGTTCACATTCCATGGGACAGGTTTTGGTCAGGTGAGGCTAAACACACAGTCATGACCTCATCCATCCCTTAAGGAAACAAACTCTGTAGGTAAACTAAGTCAGATCACAGATTAAACTACATTTAGAAGGCTCCCAAATAAGCTGACTGAGGAAGATTTACTTGTGACCTAGGAGTCAGGGAGAGTTGAGATTCTTCCTCTGATTTCTTCTTTAAGGAATGTTGACGGCTTTCAGTAAAATTTCACATTCCATGGGACGAGTTTTGGTCAGGTGAGGCTAATGTTAACCAAAAGTTGCCACAGCAATAAAAGAATAAAAAAAAATTAAAATAGTGATAATAACCAACACTTAGATAGGACTTACTGTATGTTAAGGGCAGTGCTAAGACCTTGTGGCTGTTGTCTCCTGTGATCCTCACAACCCTGGGAGGTGGGTGCTAATATTAGCACCAAAACCATCTGGAATTGGTTAAAAAACAGAGAGAGAGAGAGAAAGAAACAGAAGACTGGGCAAGGAAGATTCAGAAGGGGGATTCAGTATTTGATAAAAATAAACAAAGTTCCTCGGGAAAAACTCGGGATTTAATAAAATCTGCAGGGAAAGCTGGAAAGCAGTCTGTTCCAAAATAGGTTCAGACCAACACCTTTCACCACACTCTACAGTACATTTAAAATGAATATGCAAACTTAACACTAAAGATTATATTATACAAAAAAAAAATTAGAAGAGAAACAGATCCTAAAGCTCTCCCCACTATGGGAAGGAGATATCTTAACCAAACGAGGCAGACAATTACAAAAGAGAAAAGATTACTTCCTACTGAAAAGCTTCTGAACTGCAAACATTGAGGGGGCTAAGAAGAGAAGTAGTCAAAGAGGAAAGAATCTTTGTAACAAAGTTTCCCTGAAAAGGGTTTGGTGCATCCAAGATGCTGAAATAGTTTTGACATATGTATGCCTGTGTGTACACCTGTATATACAGCTACATAGATATGTGTGTGCTTATTGTTTTGGCTTCATTTTTCTTCCCCAACATTTTCCTGGCCTCTGCAGTTGAGGTAACAAGAACCGAGGTGAAATCCCACCCTGCTTCTGTGCGTGGATGAGGAGGGTCAGTCTGTGCCCCAAGGTCCCCCCCACAGTAACTTTCTCAACCATTGAGCCCCTCCCTGCCTACCTCAGTGGGGACTGTCTATTTTTGTAAAAAAAAAAAATAATACCAGAAGGATCATTAAGGATCCTGTCTGTGGGTTCTGAGCTCCCTCCACCCCCATCAGCAATCCCACATTCAGTCTTTGTCTAGGCTCCCGTTCTGGTTTCCTGCGGTCCTTTGCGGTCGTTGTGCCCCGGGACCAAGACGCCCAGCTTTCTGCACCTCTCCCCTTCCTGTTAGGACCCAGGTTTTGAGGGGTGGAGAGGGAACTAGTGGGACCTCCCAGGGCAGGGACGCAGCCAAGACCCTGCTCTTAGAGGGAGATGTGGGGGTCTGTGTAAATGAGTAGAAGAGAGGAGGTTTATAACATGTGCCCTGGGGCCCAGGTGTCCTGACTTCCTGCCTCAGCTCCCCTGTAGGATCTAGCTCTCTTCCAGCGAGAGAATGTCCCTTAGGGAAGAATAACAAGATAGAGGGGACGGTCCTTTTAGTGTGGGGCTGGGGTATGGCAGGTCAAGGCAGCTGGGTGGTTCAGTGGATAGAGTGCCGGGCGTGAAGTCAGGAAGACTCATCTTTCTAAGTTCAGATCTGGCCAAAGACACTTCCTAGCCGTGTGACTTTGGGCAAGTCACTTACCCATATTTGCCTCAGTTTCCTCATCTGTAAAATGAGCTGGAGAAGGAAATGGCACACCGCCGCGATGTTTCTGCCAAGAAAACCCCAAATGGGGCCACGGCTGAACAGTAACCTGGCAGGTCAAGAATGGAGACAGGCCAAGCTGGCAAACGTTTCCAGGTTGGAGGAGAGTTAGGTTGGTGTGGGCAAGGCTCGGGTCCAGGCTGTGGGGAGGACAGGCACATCTACCTGAGGGGGGCAGGGGATTGCCTGAGAGCAGCAGGGGGATGGAGGGTAGGCGTGTCCTCGTGAAGAAGAGGAGCGTAGCAGGGGCCGAGCTGGAAGGAGGAGGGTCTGAGTCCCAGAGCGGGGGGGAAGGGAAGGAGGGGGAGCCGTGGCCCAGCTGGAATATGAGCCCTGGGGTGGAGTTTGGAAGCCTGGGGGGAGGGCAGAGGGAAAGAAGGGTCAGTGCAGTGGCCAAGGCACTTCACGTGATGCAGGGCAGGGCTTGGGGTCCTGGCCCTGGGTGTGATTGGAGGAGAGGGCCCATCCTGGGGGGCCCAAGGGCTGCTGAGGTGGGGCTCCTGCCTGAGACCCTCCCAGACTGCTGGCTGCAGGCAGGAATTCTTGGAGATCACTCTGCCTTCTTTCCTTGGAGCTCTGATCTCTCCTTATCTGCGGCTG